TAAAGTCTTTAGTAGTATATCTTTATAGCTATTAACTATATAGCTATATAAAGCTATATTATATTATTTAAAGTATAATAATAATACTTAAGGTATTATATTACTTAACTTAAGTAAGGCTATTAGGAATATTAACTAAATTAGTTATACCTTATAGTTATATAATAATAAAGGGCTAGCTATACTTTAGGATAAGATATAGATCCTTAATATCCTATAGATAAATATACTTTTTTACCCTAGCTAGCGCCTATAGTTTACTTTACCTTTTACTTAGTTCTTCTTCTACTATTATTACCCTCTATTAGCCTTACTAACCTCTTAATTACAGGCACTTACTTCTTACTTATAAGGTTAAAGGTAAATCTATATATTAAAGGAATTACTACTATTAGTATAAATAATAATAAAATAAATAAATAAATAATATAATATAAGGAGGTATAAGTAAGAGATAAGGTAAATAAAAAAATAAAAAAATAAATAAATAGATAGTAGTAGATAGCTCTAAAAAGGCCTTACGCTTTAGTAACGTAAAGAGATAGCTTTAGGGAGGCCTTATAGTAGATCTTACTTAAAGAACAAAAGGAGATATACGCTACCTCTAAAAGGAGATATATATAGACCTTACCTTTTAGTAAGTAAGATACTATAGTTAAAGATTTTTAAAGGAAGAAAAGTAAGAAGTTAAGGTTATATACCTTACTTAAGGGTAAATAATAAGTAGTCTTCTTAAATTAATTAGGATAGTAAAGTTAAGTAAAAGTTATATTAGTTACTAATAACTATACCTTACTTAAAGAAGAAGAGAAAGTAAGGAAGATAGTATAGTTATTAATAAGTATTTAAAGGATAAAAAAAAGTAGGTAAATTAAGGTAATATAAGTAACCTCTACCTTTTTTACTTTACTTTAAGAACAAAAAGAGGTATACTTACTAAAGGTAATAATTAGCTACTAACTATTTAGTTAAAAAAAAAAGTTATAATTACTATAGGCTATACCTAGCTAATAATATAATATTAGAAGTATATAAAGGTAAAGTTAGTAGAAGCTATTTATTTATAAATATTATATTAAAAGTAGATTACTTAGGTAGTTCTTACTTAACTACTTTATAGCTAGTCCTACTAGTAAGATCTTATTTAAATAAAAACTTATAGGAGTCTATTTACTTATAATTTTATATAGGCTATTACTACTATAGTAAGATAAAAACTTAGTAAGATAAAAATCTTAATAATTAAAGGAAAAAAAGGTTAAAAGATAAAAAAAAAAAGAACTTAAAAAAACTTAGGTATAAAAAAAAGATAATTATACTAAATACTATAAAGGTTATTAGTAAGTAAGTAGTATATAAAGGAAGAGACTTCTTTAAAAGTAATAAAGTTAATAGTAGTAATAGTAGTTATTATATAGCAGACGTAAGGCTTAAAGGGTTATTTACTAGGTATTATAAGATCTTAAGTACTAATAATCTTTAGGCTAGGTAGTATTTTAATACTTTAATTTAAGCTACTGCAGTAAGTAAAGTATTATAGCCTCTTCTAATAATCCTTACTAATCTATAGTAGTAGTAACTATAAAGTTAACTACTAATTAGTATTAGTATTATAAGGATTATAATTAAGGTAGCTATAATAGTATTAATTAACTATTAGTAGCTAGGTAAAGATAATAATAAAGGAAAAGAGAAGAGGTTGCTGCTGTAGGTATTTGTAGTGGTGTAAGTAAGCCGCTAGGGTGAGTCACGTGATAGTAAATCACGTGACCATGGATCGGCTCCACCATTGAACAGTTGAATATCCCGACAAAATCATTAGTCAAGAGCACGTGGTTTCATGTTCTATTGATTCATGTCATTGTGGGCAGTTGAGGGGTCCGTGAATCCAAGGCAGATAGATTGTAAAAGCCAGAATACTGTTGTGACAACGCCGTTTATTTGTCTTCCTATCTTCTTCATAACCAAGGGATTATCAGACGTAGAGACTTTACAGATCACTCTTTATATAAAAAGTGGATTTCCACACGCCTTGTATAGCTTATTAATATAGATAACTTCTTTAGGAATAATAAAAGAATTTAACACTGTGTAAAGGCACAGCCTAACTTTATTAGCATTATGTTAAATAATAATAATGATAATAATAATATTATTTAACTACCTATTAGGTCCAAACTTGTAGCACAAGGCGTCCTAAACAGTCTATCTTCTATATCCCACTAGTCTAAACAGCTAACCTAGAAGTATCTACTAGGAGGTAGATAATAGAGAGAGAGAAGAAGGGTGTTCTTGTTGCACTTTAGGTGCTGGAAAATAAGATGTAAAATTCGATGCCCTCCTCTATCTAAAGTAGAGGACTATTTTCCTTAAAATACATGGGGAATTTCCTTAGCTAATACTCCGCCAATTGGCGCGATAATTCTCCGACAATAGCGGGGCGATTGTCCAGCAATTCCCGGATAATTGTCGGCCCTTTGGTGGGGAATTATCGGCCAATTGTCCACCCTTTGGTCGGCAAATGGCCAGTACAATCTGCGGCTATTAGCCCGACCGGGTAATGGCAAATTAGCCAAGGAATAGACATTCTGTTGCGTAACGGTTCTAGGTTATATAGGTACATAGGTAGCCTAGGCAAGAGCGCCTTAGACTAGTAATATAGGTGCTTAAGAGGAGTCTAGCCTCTAGACTGATTACTCTAATCTTTAGAGGCCTTTCTCCTTCCTATTTCTTGTTCTTGCTTAAGCAGCTAGCTTGCTAGCTATTAATTTACTAGTTAGGCTAGTTAGTTAGCAAGCTTGTTAGCTAGTGAATTAGTTTAGCTAATTAGAGGGAGCTAAAGAGGCTAGAAAAGTTAGAGTTAAAGAGGGCTAGATTAAATTATAATCTAGAAAGAAGAAAGAAGAGTTACTCTTAAGCTTCCTAGCGTAATAGATAGAACCTCTAGGAAGTCTTTATTACTCTAAGCCAAATTAAAGTAAATAACAATTTTGTTATTTTAATTTATAGGCAGGGGGGTGTTAAGGGCTTGTTACCTTAATTAGGCCCTTTTCCCCTAAAAAGGGGCAAAACTAGGGGCCTACGTTATTATTGTACTAATAATACAAATCAGAGGTAGTAGGTGTTAGTAGGAGGTTAAGTATTATGTTAAAGACCTAGTTGCAGGTTCCCTTTAAAGAAAAGCAAGCTTAAGGGAAAAAATATTATCTAAGCAAGGAGTATATGTCTTATGAGCATGTTACAAAGAGCAATTATTTCAGGCCGTAATGGAGTACATAAGCTTGTCGAGAGACCTGATGTTTACATTAGAAACCACGTAATGTGACTTTGACATGCGCAAGGGTCTTTGAGAGAGCCTATTTGGAGTTTAAAAGACATCTAAGTGCGTAATAGCTTTGCTTTCAAAACCTACAATACATCAATTTATCCCTTTTGTAGCAGTTAGTAGATAGTAATGCTGAAACCAATAATTGATTAGGCGTCTTCAAACTGCTTAACGACTAATGCTTATTTGTTCCAGGCGTAATTACTGAACGGCAGCAAAGAAAATTGTAAGGAATTCAAGGGAACTGATGACATATTTATAGAATATTGTGAAATGGTACTGAGTTATTACAGCTGTAGTTAAGAATATACTAAGCGATAAAATAGATGCCCTACTTTGGATCATATGGATCCAGCTGTGAAAATGAAAAAGAAACATGGTATTATTCAGAAGCAAATTAATGGAACCCTAGTTTATTTCAATGTAATTGGAACATTATAAAAAGACCCCAACTGAAAACTTGACAAGCTATATAAGAGCACTTTTTGTCTTACTTAGAAGTGATCAGTAGCTCTTAAGATTATCCCACTGGCGCGCGTTACGGAATTTGTCTGGTCTCACCTTTTTTCCTTTCTTTCCTTTCTTTTTTGTTTACTTTCGTAAACGATCTTAATCGTGAGGGAACCACTGAAAAGCTTTCGCTAGCCCTTGGTCTTCATAACTGAGGGACCTGAAGCCTGAACAGCCTCAAGAGACTTGGCCCGTCTTGAGGCGGACGCTAGGGAGAAAGACCCGTAACCTTCCCTTGAAGAGTTACACTTGCTGCTAGATTAAAGGCAGTGGAGCATCTAATTTGTCACTACATCAAATCGTCCAGACGGATCTGGTCATGCGTCGAAGACGCTGCTAAAAGAGTAGCAGTTCATGCTTGCTAGCATATTCATCTAGCAGATCCATAGAAACTTCAGACAAGAGTTGACAACGTATCGCGTAAGGCCGAGTCGTCATACCCAGTATCACGAATCATTTTGTATTCCAAGGGCTCATCTACGCTTATTGTCGTTCCGACATCTGATACACGCTCGTTGTGTTTATCTCCAAGGCGCGTTTTCCATTTCGCGTCTTCCGTTTCGCGCCTTCCCCATGTCTACACCTTCCATGTTTATACACTCCACTTATTTGAAGACGGAAGGAGGGAACTATCCCAAGGTGCTGCCCCTTCCAACTGCGATTGACTCTCCTCTCTGGTTCCATCTGGAATTTCTCAGAACCAACGTGATGCCTCGAGTTTCGACCTCAGCAATCTTCTTGTCTCGCCAATTCCAATTTCTCCCATCTTTCGTCCTTTGAACCCGGCCTCCCAGCCTCGTATTTCCGATCATCACACACAGACCCGGCCGTCTGCGAGTCGGTTTCAACTACCCGTTTGCACAATCTTGCCCTGCCGCTCTTCTCCGCGCCTTCTACTCCAGCCAAGCAATCCAACCCTTCGTAGGTGCAAACACTAGCTCTTAGCCTTGTGCTTTACGTCGTGATTCAATAAATCAGTGTTGATTTTGCTGATCATCGCCGTCTGCTGACTTATGTTTCATCCCAGATTAGTTGGATCACTCATACTTTCGCCTTCCACGGTGAATAAATAATGGCTTCCCTACCTCCCGCCCCCTCGTTGGAAAGGACAGGTCGGACAGCTGTCCGTTCTGGTTTAAAAGAGGCACAGCGGGCTTCCTACCTCATGCAGTTCCATGTCATCGAACTGGAAAAGTTTCTTGCCGATCAAACAATCGTCAGGAAGTCAACGCAGCACAACATCAACTTCCTCGAATCCATCGTTGTTCGACTACAGAGACTTGCTGCGAAGTCCAAAATTACCAAGGTCGACATAGAAGGACTCATAAAAGCCCACCAATTAAAAGTCTCAATGGGAAAGAAGGACCTGGAGGCAGTTTTGATCAAACAGCGTAGCGCCACGGCACAGATCTCCGATCACACGAACAATAACTCAAACATCCGCAGAAATATCAGTGCCAGTGCCGCTTTCCGCAGTATCGTCGATGATCTGGATGTCATCGTACATGCTTTGCAAGAGTCCCTGGCGCCTCCAACTCTTCATGCCCAGGACAACGCCCGGCTTCGCTCAATACTTGTTTCGAAGGAGGCAGAGATTTCACTACTGCAGCAGGAGATCGCGGAGTTGAAGGTGTGCTCCTACGGTCTAGCCATCTGCTTGTGACTTTGAGCTAACCTGAGAAGGGAAGGAAGGAGCAGACGGAAGGCAATTTGATCAACCTCCTTGACTAGTCAGCCGTCGGAGACATTCCGGGTTCAATGCGGCCAATGTTGGAATCCGTGCTTTATGCATCTTTCTCGTCCACAAAAATGTTCAGGTCAAATACCTTCCTTCTGTTCGTCATGGTCAGGGTAGAAGGGGACGGACTCGTAGATCAAGATTAGCATCGTTGCTGATATCATTGCTCTTTTCTTACATGCATGTTCTCCGCGAATTGGCGATACTCCTTTCCAATGGTCCAGTTAATGTCTGAAGCTGGGAGCCACGGGCTCCAGTCGTTAAAAGGCTACGATTGAGCCACGTGTGGATCCTCACTCTGGGCAGCTGTTACCTTCCTCTCCTCTCACATAGAGGGCCTTGTCACGCGCAGACTGGGGTTCGCACTGGGTTAGAGGCAAGCACTTTTGTGCGGAAAGTTAGCCCAGAAAGAATAAATCTCTGGCGCTCTTGCCCTTCGTCGGCATATTGAAGATTATGTAGGTGCACAGTGTCCCGTCGTCATGTGAGATGAAACATGAAGGGAGCTGAGGGCAAGATAGTCAGAAGATATCAGACAGCGAAAACAACTATTAATTAATAAAAGTCATGATGGGCAATGCTCTAACTGCCATGCTGTAAAATAAGGCAAGATATACAAATGCAGGCATGTGGAAAGGACATAGTTTTATCAAAAGATGCCTGGCCGTCACGAACCATCTAAAATCGTTTCCTATTCTTTTTCGTCCTCATTGCCAAAACTACTTTAGATCGCTACCATGACGCCAGCGGCGACTCTCACCGCAACACCGGCAATCGCCATACTGGTGCACTTGGGTGCGCCGCCCTTGGAGGCCTCGGTTGCCGCGACGTCCTGCCACGCCTTCTGTCAGTCCGAGACGTAGGACGAAACCTACCTGCCCTCCTTGTCCGGCATGTTATCCTGCAAGGGAGCCGGTGACGGAATTGGTAGCAGAACGGGGTTCTTCGGAAGATGGTGATAAAGACAAGCCCGAAAAGGAGCAAAGACAAGCCACAAAGCCGTAGAAGAAGCCAGGACAAACGTTTGTTTAAATTGCAGTCAGTGTAACCGGGCGTATCTTTTTTCGATAACCTGCATCATGCATGTGCCACGCCCAATGGCCCTCGGACGCCGAAGTGGGACACCGCTTCGGATAATATCCAGTCGGTGAGGGGCCGAGTGGGACCATTGTTGGCTTTTCGAGCCTGCCGGGCGGTCAAACCGAAAGCCAACATGGGAACCATCTGGCAAACGTTCCATCATTCGAAGATGCCCGCTGGCAGTGTTTGGAAGTACCCCTACTTGCCAAGTTCATAACGGGTGTCATTTGGAAAGACGGACCCGTTCGTTGATTTAACCCAGCCATGCTTGCCATAATGAGTGGGTCTGTCACGTACATACTTTAGCGTCGCACCCGCATGCCAGAATAGGAAAGGCGTGGTTCGTATCGCTTATCTGCCTAATCTGGATATTTCTTGCGTCTTATATGGATCTCGTCAATGCTGCCTGCCGTCAACGACCGGCCATGGAATTCTCACCTGCCTGCTGCAGAACCTGACCAGCCGTTGACTTTTCTCTCGTTTCCAAATTGCTGGGATACATAAATTATAGTGACTTTTATCCCGTTCTGTGCCCTGGAATCAGAAAACAGATGGAATCTCAATCCTCCAGGCCGAAAAAGACCGACATTGTTCGTAAGCGGACGGGATGTCAGAACTGCAAGAGCAAACGGAAAAAGGTTATAAACTTGTCGCCTTCGGTACATCCGGCTCGACCCATAATCCTATCAAGTATACAGACACTAATATTGTAATAGTGCGACGAAACGCGCCCCGAGTGTCTCGCCTGCGTCCGGAGAGGTCTCCAGTGCAGCGGCTATCAGCGCCCGGTCACCTTCAAAGACGTCACTTCTTTGGCAGCGGAATCTTCGAAGCGATTTGAGGAGGCCAGATGGGCTGATCTACGTCTCGAGGATGACCGAAGAAAACAACGTTGCGGCCGGGAACTGCAGGAAACCTCCTCTACCTCCCAGGATGTGTCCCTCCATGTGACCAACCTACCGCAAGATCCCAATGCCTTAACGGGGCAGGAGCTCGCTTCTTTGCCCACTTGGAACTCCACCAATACAAACATCGGTATCAACGGCTCATTCATCTTGCCGTGGGCGCTGTTCGATACCTCCAACGCGCCTGCTTCCGATAACCTTTTCCAAGAGGCCTCAAAAGAGATTTCCCCTGAAAGGAACCACCATCCGACACCCTCCATCCCATCAAGCGGTCTGGTTACTGTATCGAGGGGATGGGAAGTTGATCCGCCGCTGATCACAGACGCACCGAGTCCTACTCTATCGCTTACACTTTGGGACGATCTGATCAACTCTAAAGATTCGTCATCCGGACCAACAACGTCCACTCCGTCTCCTCTGGGCTCCCCAGCTGCCGATTGCCAACTTTATTTACCGTATGAGGAGGTGCTGGTCCAGCATTTCGACCGGAACGTCATCCCTGCTATTCCCGTGGCCCTCGCCTTCCCAAGCCTGTTCAGCCAAAGCAGCTGTTTCCGATCCGCCGTCTTGGCACTTGCCGCAAGCAACTTGAAACTGACACGACCTCTTCCACCGGATGCTAAGAGTCTCCGAGAAATTTGCGATGAAGAAAGCATAGGTGTCTACTACGACGCTGCGGTAAAAGGCCTCCAGGCTCACTTACCGTATGCTGAGACCCACCATGGGGAGGAGTTGGCGGGTGCCGCCTTGCTTCTAGCGTATCACGAACTCGAGGCTGGGACGGCTTTGGGCATTATAAACCACGCGACTGGCCTTGACACCATTGCTTACAAGTTGGACTTTGCGGGTTCCCCAGTGCCTGGTCTCTTCAAGGCCTGGCGCATGCTTCGGTACGATCTCCGCCTCATGAAACTACCCATCAGGAGAACTTGCAACTCCGTCGATGCCTTCGACGCATCAAGTCTACTCGATTCCCAGCTTGCCATTCGAGATATTTTGTCGAGGGTCTGGGGCCTCCACGCCCGTCTTTCCATGGAGGCATCGTTCGCCCATGACCCCACCGTCCAAGGCGCTAGTGCATCCGAAAAGGTGGCATCTTGGCTGATATCGGTACTCGGCCGCAAATGCGACAACCGCAACTTCTGTTTACGAGACTTCCACAAGGACACTCTTACCTCGGAATCCATTCTTCAGCAGTGCCATATCTTCAGCCACCGGCTAGATAACTGGCATAAGGCTCTGTGTGACCACGACTTGCCGGTGGTCAACCTGGGCAACAATTCGGGCATAATCAACGGTCCCACATTTGAGACTTTTGTCAAGTACAAGTTCGCCGACGAGCGCAAAACCCTGGACTACGTCATTTACCTCGTTTGCCGGATGGGCTGCAGCTATCTTCGCTCTTTATTCGACCCATCTGCGACCTCCTCGTCAACCGATGCTCTAGGCAAAGTGATACTGGGCATCGCTTGTGGTATGCAAACTCATCTGAGACAGCAGTTCACAGTCATTCGGATGGACATGCTGCTCGCAATGGCTGCATGCATGTCTGAGGGGACCAACTTCGTAACAACGATCCTTGATTTCCTGATACCTAGGATAATCGAACACGGCCTCACTGGGCCCGATATCGTGGCCTGGGTCTGGCTCAGATCGTCCCTAGAACTCGGTCTGAGGGAGAGAAGGAAAGGGCGGATCATCAGAATGATCATTGACGGGACCGATGAGGACTCGGAGATATGGCAACTGGTGAACAGACACTCGGTTGCCGTTTTTGGGGATTACAATGGGAAGGGCCATTTTCGCGATTGCTATTTCGTCGAATACCTGGCATAAAGTTGCTTGGAGACACTGTACGCAACGTATTTGTATTATTATTCACCCTTACTCAAGGGCTGTTGCCATCGTGTAGCAGCTGCTGGGCAGGCGAGAAAACGATGACCTCTTTCCATGCGACTGATAGTCCGGATCAATACCTGCCGACGGCCTTCTTCATTCTGGCATCAAGCATTATTGTTCTCAGCACCCCTCCGGCGAGCCTTCTTGAGTGATGTGGCTCAGCCAAGGTTTGAGTCGGTAGGTGCAAATTGTCTCGGGGTCAGGTCAACAAGGTGCCCTCCCAACTATCGTCTCTGAGCAACAACCAGCTTCCTTTCCCTCTCTAACCTCTGCGAAACACACATATTCAACATCTTGTCTTAGCTCAACGGGCTCAGTCTCTTTTTACCAAGTAACCCTCATTGTCACAACATGTCGACTATGTACTTTTCAGACCCCGCAGTCTTCGAGCAGGAGAGGGCTCGCGTAGGCGGAAACTGGGAGGCTTACTTTGCCAAGCATCCCGACCTGCGTGGCATTCCCGGCTTCGAATTCCCAGGAACCCCTGACCAGCCGGTCTCGCCTGGAGGCTGGGATTCCTTCGGACTATTCTTCGCCGGCATCACGGCCCCTTCCGACGAGAACAAGCTCAAGGTCGCGCAAATTGCACGGAACTGGTTCCAGCTTCTTTTCATTTGGCTGCACAGGCTCTCGCGGTCATGTCCTATCGACCATAACTTTCTCATGGCGTTTGGGAACGACTACGCTGCGCGCTACGACAAAGACCCGCAGGTCTGCTGCTCCGTGGACCTATTCATCGTCATGTTCAGCTTCATGGAAGCCAGGAAGAAAGCGATTGGCCGTCTTTTTGATCCCACAGGCTTCGAAAGGCTTCACTACTTTGTAGATGCATGCATCAGGGAAACGATGCCGCGCGCCTGGGCCCTGCCTAATCACATACATCATATTTTTTCCTTGATCCGAAACCAGCCCGACGGTAATTGCATCTGTCTTTGGCATTGCACTATGGGACGAAGCTAATGAGAAGTCACAGGTTTGTAGTCGCAGCTCTTCCAAGAGGCCCATGGCATACTCCCCAGTTGTGGAGGAGCTGCTTGGTAAGGGATACATGAATCCTTGGCGGAGGCTGAGGCAAAAATATAGCACCGCTAGGCTAGTGTGCGGCTCACGAGAAGCCAGATACCATTTGAGTGTTTGAGACTAGTAACATGGTTGGCCACAAGGTTGTGAAATCGATTCCAATGCTTCTACTGCTTGTGTTTATCCGGGTGGATGATGAGTCTGTGTTCGTGATTCCAAACTGCTCATAGGGCGCGAAACCGCATCATCTTCTTGTAGATAGGTTTGCCAAGGTACTAGTCAAAAGCCCAACTACTGTGAAGCCTCTTTCTAAGGCGAATTTAGACAGACAATAACTATCATCTATTGGCGCGTAACCACATCTCCAGAACATGACATCTGTTTTGTCGGACGCAGAGAAAGGCTCGCCTCCGAGCTCCTATCAAATCCAAGATCTACCGCTAACTTCCGGGACGGCAACACGCTGAACATCCGAGGCCCGCGTCGAATCCAGGCTTCGCCGGCACGCATTTGCCAAGGTCGGCTGTTCTGCACGTATTCTTCTTCCGTCAATTCGGCGACGCGAGGAAGAGTATGGTTCCTTTATAAGCACCCGCAGACGATTCGATATGCCTTTAGCATGCGTACAATAGAACACTTTTGGTCCAGAACGCCTGGTCCTCTTGTTTTCACACGAGAGCCACGCCCACACAGCCCAGATAGCAGGGGACCTCAGTGATCCCGAAGAAAATGCGAGCGAGGAGCAGGCAGGTGTAGTTCCGGCTCACCGCTATGAGAGAGCTGATGGTGTTCCGGACGGCCATGCAGGAGTTCATCTACAGGCTGGGGTGAAATTGTCTTCCCTACCACGAGTTGCCAATATCATCTAGTCGAGACGTCTCACGAGGGCGATTTCGGCGGAATCGCGTTTCGCATGAGCTTCCGAGTCGTCTCGAGCTTCTGGAGCGACCACCTTCTACATCGTCTGGAATGAACACAGCCTCTGTTTCTCTCTTGGACTTCTACTGGCCCTCGGAACACTCCACGGCGGCACCCATTGCCAATTTCCTCGGTGCTTTCCAGGGCGGCTCGTAACAAGATCGGCGAGGAAAGGTTCAGCCCATCAAGACAAAATTCCCGAGCAACATGGCCTTGTTTGACCCTGGGCGTTCTTCCATTGACAATGTATAGCGCGCAGCCAAGGTGCATTCCTTGTGCCCCCTTGACCGGACGTACATCTGCACAACGACGGCTTCACGTTCGCAAAACAGCCTTCCCCGCATCGCTGAGGGGGGGGCTTGTCCAAGGTGCGACGGCGCCACTGCGAGTACTTGTGGTCGACAAGGGCGGCTTACATACGCATGGTTTGGTAGAAATCATGTCTCAGCGTAGCTGGAGCCTTAGTTCATGTAGGATGGATAGCGGCATAATGGGATGGAATGCCATGGAGAATGAGCCGTTTCGACGCTTTATCTTTATAGAAAACGAATCTAGCCCTCTTACAGCACAAGAAGACTGATTAGTTCTGACTTAAGAGTAAGTCAGCCCGAGGTCCGTTGCTCCACGAGCACCTTGTTCAGCCTTTAGAAATATGTGTGGAACGCCCCTGCGCCTTGTCTGCAACACCCTAAACTAATACCCTCTTTCCCAATTGCTTGATCTTCGAACCACAATCAGAATCTAAGGGGGGAAACCGATACCGAATGAGGTCGGCTCATGGATTTCCCGTCCCATGTTCAGGACTAAATATAGTCTCATGTGATCGAGAAATAGGTAATGCTCATGGGTGGGAAATATAACCCTGGACCTAGAGCGAAGGGCACCGTGTATTCTTTGCCGTCGAGCAATTTCAAGCAGTGCAGCAGCCTCTGGAGACCTAATTTGAACGTCTCCTTCTCCCCGCCGAAACTAAGTCGGAACCAGCCTGGTCGCTTGGAGCAGAATGTCTGCGACTGGTCAGCATGATCTTTCTCCACTACAGGGATAGAATGAAGGAAGAATCTTACTTCACCGGGCTCGAGAAAGACACGCTGCTTCAACATATATTCCAGCAGTGACGAATAGCCCTCTCTGCCGTGTTGTTGGGGGCTGAAGTCCGCCCACTCCGACAAGTCGACAAAGACGAAAAGTCCGGCTTCCGGCTTGTCATATGGAACATTGTAACTAACGAGGATTTCTTCCACAAGTTTACGCCGTTTGTTCAACCGCCGGCGGAACACTGGGAGGTAGTGGTTTTGGAGGTACTTCGTGTCCGATATCAGCTTCTCTGCCACTGTGGAACTCGAAGCAGACATCCGCCCGGGCCTGCTGCTGTCCTCAGTCATGAGTCCCAGATGATGACACCAACGTATGTGAGTCGACCACTTACCTCAACGACCTCATGGCATTGTAGGTCTGTTTGTTGTATGTTGCCAGGAACGCGCCCTCGAAACCACCAAGGCCAAGATCCTAGAAGGGAATCAGCATGTCTTTCCGTCTCACTCTCCGTCTCTATGAATCATCCATTGAAATTGAGACTGCGCTTTCAGGTGGTGATGGCCCGCTCCTTACCTTGCTCATCCCCCACAATACGTGAACGTATGTAGCATTCATGTCCAAGCCAAGGCTCAAGATGCTTGAGAAGCGATCTCCAGCGCTCATGGCGTAGGTTTCATCGACAATCAGGTGGATCTCGTACTTCGCGCAGAGCTGTGACACCTGTAGTAGCACGTGGGCCGCATAGCACCGGCCCAGTGGGTTGTCCGGGTTGGCCAAAAATATACCTCGAACCTTGCGCTTTTGATCCAACTCCATCTTAATCGCAGCTTCGAGACGCCTAACTAGTTCCGGAGCCTGTATGGGGGCGTCTTCCTGTGGCGGGGGGCCCCAGAACCGCTCTTCGGGGATGTCGTCGCACGGCACCTCGACAACATGGACATTGTTCTTTGCCCAGACGTCGTGGGCAGATATGCCGCAGCTAGGTGTGGGGATGAGAATTGCGTCTCCTTCATCTGCGATACTGTGGGTCAGAGACTCCAGCAGAGTGTCTACGTCGTTTGCCGCGAATACGTTGTCGTTGGTGAGTGGGGGGCGAACTCGGAAGTGTTCGTTAATGAATCTAGCCGCCGCTTTCAGCAGGTTTGTTGAGCTCTGCGTATCTCCGTGATCAACAGCTCGGTGGATTTTAGCATATTTGCGATCAAAGACATCATGTGTCTGTACTCACCATCCCTCAGCTGGCTTTTTTTCACTTTCTTTTTCGTCCACCCCGACAGGTCATCAAGCATCAGCTCGTTGACAGCAGAGCCCATGTCTATGATGCCCTTGGGGTTTTTGACAGTATCATACAAGTTTTGCTCCAACTTGTAGCCAAAATCAATCGCAGATGATGGCCGGATGCTCTTCCGGCCTCGAAGTGACGGTGTCAACGCGTTCTGGGCGGACATGGTTTATATAATATGGTGATGCTGTTGAAATCCGATGCTATCAAGACTATCAACGGAGACCAAACCGAGCGGCACAGTCGATATTTATATCATGACGGTTCGACGCCTTGAGGCTTGACCTTGACCACGGTGTAAGAGTCACCCCGGCCGTGATGGTGTGTGGGGCCCATGCGGCATGAGTTGCGCGGCCCCGGAATTTGACTCCCTCTTGATTTCCTGATCGGGTAAGCAATTAGGTACGACCACGCTAGTGGTGCCACAATCTCCCAGCCATTGAAGTTTGAGCCTGGTGACGATGACTTACGTGCTGATTTGGCATGGCGCACACCTCCCACGGCGTGTTAGGGCTTGCATTCCCTGCCATCCACCAATGCGCTTCATAGGCTTTTTTATTCTGTAATTAAGGGATGGCATGTCGGCTTATTGGTCGTGGGTACCTATCAAGCCACCCAGCACTGCTTGACCCGCCATGGATTGAAATAGCCATTGAGCCATATCTGGTGTCAGCACGGGTTCGAATTTCACCGCTCCCGCCATTCTCTGGTCAAAAATCCATACTGACGATGCACTTGGTAGGGCGCAGAAGTTGCCTGGACCGTGCGCTAAACATATTCAAATGACGACGCAGTCGCACAACGCGTCGTCTGCGGATTGCTTTTGAAAAGGTGCAATAGTTAGGTATGCGCACATTCACTACATGTACACCTGACAGGCACGCACACGATTGCGTATGCACGACATGGGTTATCCAACAGTCTCCACGTTATGGTTATATTTTGAGGCAATTTGAAAGCCTCAACGTGGGGCCTTGATTGCGTCTATTGAACTAACGCTGACCACGGAGGTACATCCGTCTGCGCAGCGAGGGTCAATGAAGTTGACCGGTCCACCAGTACTGCAGTAGTATACGGAGCTGCCGGCGGAGCAGCGCACTCTTCTGACCGCCGAATCCTCCTCTCCGGCGCTCATACTGACAGGCCCGTTGTCCTCGCGGATCCTGGTTCCGTCACAGAGATGTGATAACTGCCGTCAACCTGTTGTTGGCATGCAACCGCGTCGGTAAAGGTGAGCTCCTGGCCATGGCCATCTCGAGAGAAACCGAGTTCGTTAACCGAATAAACCATGTTTGCCGTCATAGTCGGCTTTTCCAGCACAGCCAGTCTTATTCATCAAGGTCCAGATAGGGGATGTTGGTAAAGGGAGAGTGAAAAAGTGTAGTAGAGCTGCCTAGATGCTAGGTTACTGAGTAAACCGACGTTGAAGTCCCGAAATAATACCCTAGCTAACATCATGCTCCATGGCACAGCGACGCATCGTGGGCTGGTTTAGAAACTAAGCCGCGATCCCCCCTCAGATCCCATCAAGTCCCGCACACCGTCTACAATCTCGTCGATGAGATGCTCGACGTTTGCATCCACGTTGACCCGCAGTACCATCTCCTCTTCCAAAGACCCCCCGCCGCCCCCAGTCTTGCAGGCGCCAAACGAACCGAGCGAGGCGAAACTTGTCATGGTCCGCGAGTCGAGAGGCTTCAGCACAGGCAACTCGTCGTCTTCAACCTCGTCAAGCGGCACAAAGATGACGCCAATGCGGTACTCGCCAACAGTCTTGCGTATACAGTCTTTATGCCAGCGGTCTAGCTCCGGATGGGTGACAACCATCAGCGCCGGGTTCGCCCTACGCAGCCGCTCGTCGCTAGGCAGAGGGGCCCATGTGACAGGCTTGTTAATGTACTTTGCAATTGACGGCGGGGGCGGCACATCTCCGCCAGATGACGTAAAGCTGCTCGCAATACTGGCAGTTGAAGCAGTGGCAACCGTGTCCGACGACGCTGAAGCGATGGAGCTCCCGGAACCGCGGCGGCTTGTTGAGGTCAACAAGGCTCCGCCGAAGCCGGAGAAGCCCTCGTTGGCTGGTCGCGACTCTTCAGGAAATAGGAGGCCGGTCCTCGTCATCTTAGAGAGCCACATACGCTGGTACCGCCCTTCATTCGATAGAAAAGCTGGAGTAGTTTGCCCTTTGCCGCCGCCGCCGCTGTCGTTGTCTTCCACAGGTCCCCTCGAGGCTCCCAGATTGGCTGCCTTGGCTGCTGTCTCGTGCAGGCTGTCGCCTTGAAGGAGATGGCAAGAGAGGGCGCTAGCAATGGACTTGGCGATCTGAACCTTGCCGGCCACGGCGGTCGAGGCCAATATGAGGATAATGTACTTTAACGGCTTCATCTTTACCCGGCGTCAGAGCTTCTCGTCGTCCGGTTTGTCGGGGGCGATGGAGCATTGCCTGGGGCGTTGGTGGGCGGATTGGGTATTCGGACATTCTGTCGAGGAATCTGAGATGAGATTCTGTGGTTCTTCACATGCAGCTGTCAAAAGCGCTACTTGTTATAAGATCTGGGTGAGTTTGGTGTTGATGCTGGTTGAAGGTTGGCAGCTACTACATACTTCTTTGGAAGCTTCCTGATAAGCCTGTGGTCAAGTGTTTTGGTAGTTTATGATTGGTCTCAAGGCCTGTTCTTTGATTGGATCCTGTTGGCTCTATCCTGCATCCTCTGCATAAGATCGTTGTGATAGGAAACTCGGCCCTATAAGTACCAATCCAAGTTTCCCAAGTGACAATGAATCCGAAAATATCCAGTGCCCGGATAGAGCCTGCAGCCTATATACGGTTTTTTCTACAATGGTTGTTGGAAAAGTTCGGCAGTTGTTAGAGAACCTCTAGGCATGCCTCTCCATCTGCGCTTCATCATATACCCATTGAATTTGCAACAATGTCAAAATGGAAATGTGAATATATGGACGAGTGAGAACTTTCTTGTTCTGGATATTACATTATCAAGAGGGTTATTGATTTCTCTGTTAGTTACATTAACTGCGAAAGCCTGTGAACATCGGCACAAGCATTATGGAGTAAATATAATCAGTTGGTCAAGAACAGGTCGACTGTAGGTACTTTTACCCGCTATTCATGTCTTCATTCGGCACAACAAGGTGGCAAAGTGCTTTATCAAGGTCGCATCGCTTGTCGTTGATGCATTCAAGGTGCAGCATGCAGCATGCAGCACTGCAATGTGATATTTGACCTTGAGACATGCCACACACGATCCACAGCGTCTGACATACTGCAAATCGATTGTAGCCGAGGCGGGGCTCATAATATATATAGCAAGGGGTTCGCCCAGCTTGCATAGGCGAGGTAGAAAGTTGGATCAACAACAGAATTCCGCGGGCAGAGGATTCGACCCCGCGCGAAGCAACAGAACACATCAACCAAAACGTACCAGAACACCAACGGCGGCATGGAATCCAACCCTTCTCTCGATCTAAGTTTCGGCACCTACACCATTCCTTCGCCCGCCGAGAAGCCTATTCCGTACCTCGTCACAGCATTCCTCTTTGTGATCTTGGTATATGCCGTCGGTGATCGCGCCCCCAAGCTCCCGGAGGTCAACCCCTTGAAGGCCTTCGAGTTCACCAACCGACGGCGCAATGGCGAGTTTGTCCACCAAAGCAAGGAGATTGCACTCAAAGGAAAGGCGGTCTTCGGAGATAACCCGTTCAGGATGCACACAGAATGGGGCGAGGTCGTCGTCTTGCCACCTGCTTTTATGCAGGAACTACGCAACGACCCAGGGCTGGAATTCTCCGATACTTTAGTCGACGTAAGTCCTATTTGCATTGCGGCAATGATGGTGCTCCTGGGCTGATGGCCAAGCCTTGCAGGACGCTCATGGTTACATCCCTGGGTTTGACCCATTTGACGGCAACCCTGCAATATTGACAATCATCACGAAATACCTAACGAAGGCACTTGGTGAGTTTATCCACGTCCCGTACTGGAGCAAATACGATCCCATGGTTTGGTGCTCACTGTGTTTCGATAGCCAAACTTACGAAACCCATCTCCAAAGAGGCAACGCTTGTTCTCCGTCACGTTCTCACCGACTCAACAGGTATGTTACATCATCGGCTCTGCTTTAAAAGTGCTGGCGAACCACAACGGTCCACTGACACCAACCCTTGGCAAGACTGGCACCAGATCACTCCCCGTGATGACATTATCCGCATAGTATCCCGCCTCTCCTCCCGAGTCTTCATGGGCGAGGAGATCTGCCGGGATGAAGAATGGGTCCGCGTCTCCGGTTTCTACAGCGGCGCTGCCTTCGTGGTCGGTTGGGGCTTGAGCCAGTGGCCCCGATGGGCACGACCCATCGTCCACTGGTTCCTCCCTTCCTGCTGGTACGTCCGCCGCCTCCTCGCCGAGTGCCGCAGCACCCTGAAACCCCATCTCGAGCGACGGAACGCGCGCAAGGCGGCGGCCCTGGCACGTGGTGAGAAAGATCCCATCTTTGACGACTCCATCGAGTGGTTCGAGAAGGAATGCACGGCCAATTACGACCCGGTCAGAGAGCAGATCACCATGTCTCTCGTCGCGATTCACACTACAAGCGAATTACTGCAGCAGACCATGCTTGATCTGGCGAGCCACCCGGAGCTGTTCCAGCCCCTCCGGGAAGAACTCGTTCGCGTGCTGAGTGCCGAAGGCCTGACGACGACGGCATTCCACAACTTGAAGCTTATGGACAGCGTCATCAAAGAGTCGCAGCGAATGAAGCCTGTACTCCTCTGTAAGCCTTTCCCCATCTACAAGCTTCCAGGATAGTGGACCAAGCCACTGACGTGCGCGTAACAGCGACCTGGCGCCGCTTCGTCAAGGAGGACATCGAGCTATCCACCGGCTTCGTCCTGCGCAAGGGTCAAAAGATCATCTGCACCAACGCCCACATGTGGGACTCTCAGTACTACGAGAATCCGCAAGAGTACGACGGCTACCGCTTCCTGAAAATGTGCGGCACCGACGAGGAGAAGCTCGCCTACCTGGTGAACACCAGTGCGAAACACCCCGCCTTCGGTTACGGCCACCACGCGTGCCCGGGCCGCTTCTTTGCCGCCAACGAGCTCAAGATCGCGCTGGCTCACTTGCTGTTGAAGTACGACTGGAAGCTGCCCGCCGGGTGCAACCCCCAGCCTATGCCTTACGGTATGGCGCTTATGCCCGATCCCAGCGCGTTGTTGTTGATTCAGCGGAGAAAGGAGGAGATTGACCTGGACTCTTAAGAATACTGAGAAATCGAGTGACATGGAATGACAGGGGAAACATCAGGTATCGATAGCTCCGTTGCAAGGATTTGGCGCTCCGCAGCATAAAACCCCAAACACACACGTATTTATTCACTAGCTGCTCGTTTATAGCTTCGTACCTAATATATACAGCGGTACCAAGAGCCAATACCGGTTACTGAGAGAACTGTTTCTACCATTCCAAATATTCCTTTACAAAGACTACCACAGAAATGGCATGCTTATCCTGGTACGCCTCCGCAAAGCTCTCCGAGCTCATTCCCCAACAGCGCTTCATTGCCTTATCGGGTAAATTGGAGGTCGAATCCTTTGAAAACCACGTCCTCGCACCGCTTCAGGAAGTCAAGAACGTCGGCCGCCGTGTGCCAGGCATCGTTGTAAGCAGCGCTGAGATACAGTTCGCCCCTGAACGTGCCCAAGAAGAGGCCCAGGCCGTTCCCCAGCTCTTCGCCCGTCACCCACGGGTCGTACACCTCGATGGCTCCCGTCTTGGGAGCAATGATGTTGTCGACGCGGCCCATGCTGGATATGGACACGGAGGGGTGGGTCTTTGGCGGGGGCACGGGCAGCGGCCGGGGAGACGCGGGTACGTCCGGGGTTGCGGCGGCCCAGATGGTCGGGGCGAGGGCGTAGTGTTCCTCGTCGTTCCGGACGCCATGGTAAAAGTCTTTCATGATCTGCACAACACGCAGAAACTCTCCGTCGCTGACTTGGTCGTCGCCGGCGGCGGGAAGGTCCATATCGACCACCAGACTCTGGCCGGGAACGGAATGGTAAAGGGCGGCGGGATGCCGATGAGAATTGTACGGCGCTCGACAGCTTGCGCGCTCGTTGCGGAGGATGTAGTTGACGTAACGCACGCGCTTGGCCTCGGGGGCTCGTTTTTGGATATCACGGAGGACGAGTGCGATGGCTGCATGGAAGGCGTGCGTGACTGTTGCGTTGGCAGCTTTGCACGCGGGGGTGAGCAAGGCAGTCTGCTCTTTGGTGAGAGTACGAGCGACGCGTTGGTGACGGCCTGGGATGCTGGCGCCGTGTCGGTAAGGTACATCAAGGACTTCTACGTCGGTTGCATTCATAGCGGCAGCTTTTTGCGCTGCCATGTCTGCCAAGCGCTTCTCTTGGTCGGAAGTGAGCGTCACGGGAACGTTGGCGGCAACGCGATAGGGCGGGCTCAGGTTCGCAGCCTCGGAACCATCAAGGGCCGGGGGCTTGTAAGCATCTCCTTCGTAAAAGGCTTTGGAGGCGTAAGTGACGAGATTGCTTAAGAGAATCAGGGTTCCGACCCCGTCGATGATGTCGTGGGGCGAGCGGAAGACAAGATCGCGTCTAATCATACCATCTTTGTGAGAGGGTGGGCTGAGGACGAACAAGGTCGGCATCTTTGGGGCTGGCGGCTGATTGTTAGCCCATTGTTGACCAGTTTGTTCGCCCGACACGTGTATGAGCGTCTCTTCAAGCCAGCATTTCTGTTCGGCCAGATCACCACATCGGCGGTACGTCTTGGTCCACTTGCCAGTGACGAGGTTCTGGGTGACCTGTGAAGCGATGGTTGGATGATCACATCGGATGGCGAGCCAAGCAGACTCCAAAGCCTTATCAAAGATAATTCCGGCCTCCTCAGTACTATCCCCTACGTCCCGGACATCAATATGTAAGGAGATGTGACCAGTGATCGCAAAGAACATGAGACTGCTTCCTTCATAAAGCGTTGCAAGGGCTGAGTAGAACTTCTCGATCTCGTCTGCGGTGCGCTGCCATACTCCTGGAGTGGTCTGGCGCCAAGTAAGCTCGGGGTATGTCTGGTCCATGGATATAGTCAAGAAGAGGATATGGGTAGGTCACTCGATCGAAGATAAAGAGTAACGTGGATCATGAACATTCATACTGTGGAGGTCAGCTGGGATCCCTCTCTCATATATCTATGCGGGCTTGCTCTTGGAACCATGGCCGCAATCCGAGACTCGTCTCCGGCTCCACGCCGAAACTGGACCATGAGGCGAAGGAGGCCACAAGCGGGGTTGGCCCTCCAAGATACCACTGGCGAATGAAGCCGAGGATCAGCCATCTCGGAATTAGCGTCCCGGCCAGAGTCATGGCCGCCCCGCAGCCGATTGAGAGCGAGTGGCTGAAGGTCCGAAATTCACCCGGATGACAACCAGCAGCCCTGGTGGCTGCCGGGTGTTGCAACATCTCCATGATCTACCTATATACCTTGAGACTATTTTTGAACTTCGTGAGATTTTCTTGTCACGTTATTTGAAGTTTTGCTATGTAAAGGCTGGCTTTTCCATACCAGTTACCAAATCAGTGGTATCCTCGCCAGCCATGTTCTTTTCAATCTCTATAATAACTCGCAACTCCAAGTCCTCGGCTTCTTTTGATATGGATGCTAGGATTTTCATCCTGAGGATCGTATCGGGATGGTCATCCCCCAACACCTTACTTATCTCCAGAACTAGTACCCCCAATTCCTTGGCTTCTCCTAATCTACCTTGTTTCCAGTACCTGGATGCTAGGTATCACAGGTGCTGTAGCTACGTACCGACTACGTACCGACTACCATAGATACGTACCACGGGGACCAAGATGGCCCCAACAGATCAGCTACAGCACAAGACAACTTGAATCATACACACACACATTGACCCACCTTTTGGTGACTGTGCCAACAGGGGGTTCATGTCTGTGTGGCGGATACCGTCAGCCACACCACGTGCTATGTCACATGGACGAGCTCGAGGGCCCCCTTTATCCCATTGAGTGCGAAGTGACCTCACATAACCCAAATATGGGTCTCTGCAAATGATTACCAACAGCTATTGGATAGTTGGCCTGGATTGCTGTAGTCTTATTGGTCTGAGGCTATGTGAGGTCCAGTGGCACTCAAAGGGATAGTAGGTGTTGAACGTGCTACAGTACTAGGTCAAAAGTCTGTTTACAGCAACAAGGACAGTCAATCAAAAGCTACATTAGGTGGTTAGGACATAAGGTCTTTAGTGACGCACTGTGAAATGACCTCCAGCTATTAATGGGTCCTCTCTTTAACTCTTCTTTGGGTTATCCTTTTTGCTGTAAACAGACTTTTGACCCAGTACTGTATAGAGCGACATGCAGTAAGAGACCCCAACAGCTGAGACTGTACGCAACAGCACAGATATCGGAATGGTGATAGGAGAGAGACACAGCTGTGCGGACTTGCGCTGTACAACTGAACAAATGGGCAACCCCAGACTATCGTAGAGGACCTCTATGAACAGATGCTGGCTAAAGAGCCGTCAGGTAAGGAGGCGGAAAGCTCGGTGCAGCTTCTACGCGATGCCAGACCTGAGCCACAGCCTTCTCTTGCACGGCAGGGCGCTCATACACACAAGCTGCGGTCCGAAGCCAACCACTTCCTTTTCCCGCTGGGGGTGTTGATATGGGGCCTTGTCCATGTATATCCAAGCAGCCATGTTGCTGTGAAGAGCATATGCACCTATAAGCAAGATTAGGCTGATGGAGTTAAACACCGGCCAAAAGGACCAGCCAGCCAGCCAAACTGGCGAGTTTGTGACACATCTTGATACTCGACTCTGTTGGCGGTGCATCATTATGGTAGTAAGTGGTATTATTACAAGACTCGACTCGCAGAACTATGCGACCGAGTCCCAACGAGCGAGGGCAACAGATCTTGGTATGTAATATCTTTAGTACAAAAATGGAATACAAAAGTAATCTGCTCTGGATCAAATAGCTAACTATCAAATACTGCAAAGGTTCGACAATTTGCCGGTTCGCCCTTTTACCTGAGATAAACATTGCACCGTCAAAGCAAATACTACTGCATCTAGAAGAAACGGTTGTACATGCGCTTCCAGGTAGGCCAAGTGGCCATCTCAGCCTTGTAGCGGTTGATCTCGTCCCAGTCAAGTTCGCGACGGCCGGTGTCAACGTCCATCTGGTGGGTACGGAGCCATCCCTGGCCCTTCCAAAAGTAACCAATCACCCAGAAGAGCAGGATGATTGGCACAGTGAGCCAAGCCTCGAAGAAACCTTCGGCAGAGTTAAGTTCGTCTTGTCCGGCTGGGGCAATTGCTACAAAGAGCTGTCATGGTTATTAGTCGGTGCATGCATGTGGTTATAAAGGATTCTTAAGCGGGACATACCGTAGCAAGCAGTACGAGGGCGCAAAGTATCAGGCCTATCCAAGATCCAGTAGTGCCAAAAGCAGCCTTGAAAGGGATCTCGTCGATGGTGTGACCGTGGTAGGCCCAAGCCTTGCGGAATCGAATGTGGGCCAAGCAAATAGATCCCCAGGTAAACAAGGCAGCAAGTGCCGACAGGGCAAGCAACCAGTTGAAGACAGTCTCACCGTCCGCGTCCAAGTTGATGTAAGCAATGGCACCACAGATGAGGTGGACTGCAACGGAGGGGAGTGGGCGACCGGATTTGTCGACATAGGTAAAGATCCTGGGTGCGTAACCCTGCTGCGCGAGGCCGGTTAGAGTACGGGAGCCGCCGTAAACGCAGGATACACCAAGCGATAGAACAGAAACCAAAATAATGACGTTCATAAAGTGGTTATAGCCGTACAGTCCAGCATACTCGGCAGCCAAGACGAAAGGCGATGTACCGTCCGCGTAAGGGTTGTCGGCACCAAGGATGTTCTCATCGTTGGAGCTGATGAGAAGGCCAACGAAAAAGAGGCCGAGGATGTAAAACAGCGTAATGCGCCAGAAGACTTGCTTGATGGCACCAGGGAGGGACTTGAGGGGGTTCCTGGCCTCGGCGGCAGCCAGACCGACAAGCTCGGTTCCAGAAAAGGAGAAAGCAGCAGTGACGAAGACTGCGCAGAAACCCTTAAAGCCGTTCTTGAACGCGCCAGGATCGTACCAGTATCGGGCTCCCCAGTATTCATCGTAGCGACCCCCGGCGGGACCACCACCGCAAACGAGGATCAAGGCAACAATCATGAAAATGACTATGGACCGCCTAGTTAATATTGTTGAAGATAAAAGGCGGATAAAGTTCCAACTTACCGATGGCAGAGAGCTTGAAAAGCGAGGACCAGAACTCCTCTTCAGCATAACCCAAAGTTCCAAAGATGTTGATGATGATGATGGCGACCCAAAAGACTGTAATCCACACAGCAAGGCTGATACCTCTGGCACCTTCCCAATAGTTGATTGTAAGACCACAGACCGTTAGCTCGAGCGGTAGAACGATAGCCCACTATTGCTTGTCAGTACGCCGGGTCTCGGTTGACTCTGCTTGTCTGACAGTTCTGGGCGCGAAAACAAACCTGGAAGACGTAGTTCCATCCCATGGCAAAGCCCCACGAAGGGTCGATAAAGCGGGTTGAGTAGACGTAGAAGCCACCGGAAACAGGGTACATGACAGCGAGTTCACCAAGAGCGTATACAACATTGAACATCATGACACCGATGATGGAGAAATCGATGAGAAGAGAGCCGGGACCCTGAGACATGTCAGTCAAGGCAAGGTGAAAGGGTAACTAAGCGGGTTGCTTACACCGGTAGCGAGGGCACTTCCAGAGCCAACGAAGAAACCGGCACCAATGGAGCCACCTGGAAATGAAAATGTCAACAACAGTTCTCGTAACAGCGGGAAGTTGCGCGTACCAATAGCAATCATGTGCAAGTGACGAGTCTTCATGGTCTGGTCAAGATGGACGATATCGGCGCCATATTCTCGGCGCTTAAAGGACTCCAAGTTGAGACCGTTGCGGGTGTAGAAGTTCTCATCACGGCCAGGTACGGCATGGCTGGCGTTTCCGGTGGCGGTCTCGGCTCCTACACCAGCTCCAGTGCGGGTGTCAGTGTTGGCCTGGGTCGTCTCTGGTGTCGAGACACCGTCATGGATGTCTTTCTCGGTGGCCATCTCGTGCCTGGATTGGCGCGAAGCGCGTCTGACTATACTCGGGCACGACTGGTGATTCCCGTGTTTGGGACTGAGGGTAGGTAAAACCCGGTCGAATGGGAAACAGCGTGGCTCGGGGGTGTACGGCCTAGGGACTCGAGGAGCAAAGAAAGGAGGCGGGCAGGCCCGTTGAGTTGACGGATGAAGGCACAAGAAGAAGAGGGCGTCGATCGGAGTCCAAGGGAAGGGGGGGGACGCGGTGGGATTAAAAGAAGACGACGGGCCATGGGTGAGAGATGTGAATGGTCCCCCCCTCGTCTGCGGTTCACGCAGCCTTAGACATGGTATAGGTTGGTTTCGCATCCTAGTCGAGACTATCTTGTCGGTGCGAGCAATTACTGGCTAGCATGGCTATCAGCGGCCAAGTCATGCGGGCGACGCGAAGGTAGGTCAACGGCGGCGACGGGCGAGTGAGGGTGCCCAAAAGACTGGCGGACAAGGTGGTTTGAGTAAGATTGGTGTCCGCCAAGCGGCATAGGACGGCCAAGTCTCGGAAAAGTGGAGTGAAGCAGACGGAAAGCTGGACGAGAAGAGAAGGTGGATGTTGGGGGTTTCCAGGGAAGGTGATGGTCGAGTGTGTTCTGGTCCATCGATGAGTCTTGGTGGTGAAGATGGGGTGGCGGGCTTGGCCCCGATGTGCGTGGGCGTGGGCGAGAAAGGCTGACGTCGAGATTTGAGAGGATGCGAAGAGAGGAAGGTATCGCAGAGTATCTCTCTGGTACTCTTAGGCTGTCATTATCAGCAGGGCCCGCCCGGGCTGATGCATGGAAGCTCGTTCCGCGCCTTCTATTAGTGTTGACAGTACAGGTGCATACCTAGGTACCTTACTCACCTAGGACGTGGTGGGGATGCATCGTGTGTCGATCTTGGCGGGAAAAAGTGGAACCGGGCCCAGTGGGAGTGAGTGGAAGGAGGGGAGCGTGGGGAGGTGCGAAGGAACGGGAGAGGAAGAGGGGGGAGGGACGGGAAAGGGAGGAACGACGGCGACGGCAGGCGGAGGCAGCACCACCCTCCGGTCCCCATGTAAGTAGGTGCCTACCATAATTACTCTACTCAAGCCGCACCTTCCTCACCTCTCTCTTCCCTTGTCCATTTAGGTATACGTACGGATACATGCGTGTCGACACCTCACTTACATATATCACGATCCGGGAAAGGTCTGATGCATCTTCCGCCAAACGCTTCCCTTCCGCCAGCTCCCATCACTTCGTACTTGCCGCATCATCTTTTCTCTCTTTCTCTCTCTCTCTCTCTCTCTCCTTCCCTCTCCTCGAATAGAGGCAATCTTCGCTTGCAGGCTTGATGCACCTGCCGAGCCCTTGGCCCTTCACAAAAGTCCCATTTCGGCCAGTGAGCGTCCAAGACGGTGCGACCGAGTCCCTCACGCGATTGGGTATTCGTAAATTGGGAATCAACAGTCGAGCACGGCCATGGTACACGACAGTCACTTCGCTGGACCTCCAACGATGCAAGCCACTCCTACGAACTGATTGATATACGGTCACATACATACAAACATATCCCTTTTTCCTTGGCCGTCTCCAAAACCAAGACTCGACCCCAGTTCGGTCCACAAATGCGCAACTTCTCACTCGCCGGTTGAGAAATGCCAACCATTTGCCAACCGTTGGCGAATTTTGGCTTCTTTTATCAATGCCTCCTTACTGGTACCAAGAGCCAGCCAAGTTGTTCTATCGGTGTTGGCATGCTCACCATGGCCCGATAAGCCCCTCGTGCAATCCTACCGCCACCACTCGCTATCTTCACCTGCCATAAATCCCCTTCCAAGGCTTTTCTCCAAGAAACACCAAGAAATCAGACAGCAATTCCAACGCGACGGTTCGGCCGAACACGCGTATACACGACCACTTCCTCGTCCTCGGGGCAACTACACCAGTAGATATCACGACGCCAGACTTCGCCTATCTCTTAGCTCTAATTCCATGGGCCTTCCAACGACCTTCTGAACCCCTTGGACCCTTTCCAGCTGAAAGGCTGTGCTGCGCCCCTTGCTCGTCTTGGAACGCGCGCCTGGGCGAGCTTTCTCGGGAAGGTGTCATCGTCTCGGCACGCCAGCCGTCGTCAGGGTACTGTACCTGAGGCTGATTCTCCCCCACACCAGCTAGGGAATTATCGCCTACCACACCAGGAGTACTATTGCTTCAGGTCGCCTGTCCACCTGCTGACTACCGCCCGACGCGCATGCCATACCACGCCCCGTGACACACCACCTTACCCATCCCCCATTGATAGCTCATTGTGAAATCTCGACTTCTACCCAAGTGGAAACGCCACGCGCACGCTTTTTGCCTCTCTTCCCGTTGTGATTCATGAACATCGCCTGGGATCATCGGACTTGACATCCGTCGCTGGAATTTGCATTTGAGCCTGCAGATATCCGACTCGGGGAAGGTCGTCCACCCGTAACCCGTTACATTCCAACACTCCGGCTCAAAATATGTCGATCCCCCAGATCAACTCCATCAACGTAGGTAGTCAGTCAATATTATACCTACCCTACGGTAAGTAATAGTGTATAGGTATTGAACGCCGGCATCCTTCCACAGGTAAGCCGGGCGTACCCCACGGCGCTAGCCTGCGGCCCGGACTTCGATTTAGAGAAATTTCCCCGGGCAAGGGATAGGTAGATTAGACTGGCTTTGCGAAGCAACACTTGCGGGTGGATGCAGGCCAGCCACCCACCTGGCATCCTTGGAGATGGTCTGGTCTGAGACCAACCCAGTCGATTGGCCGCCTCGCCTATCCATTAAATCAATGCTCCGACCGCACCCTTTTCAGCGGGGCCCAAAAGGATCTTTGGGTCCGGCCAGTGAGCTTCGCGCGATATAGAAGGGCCATTGAATATGGACTTGACAGCTGGGCGTGCTTGGTCGAGTGGCCTCCGCCTACCATCTAATACCTGGTCGATAAGGCCGCAAGGCGAGCCAACAGCTGAGACTAAAATGAGCCAAGATCAAATGGAGGCTTCTTAACAAGGAACACCTTCTCGGTTCTTCGTGTGTACCCAAAGATAGGTAGTTCGCGAGGTCACCCTCCAGTCAACTGGCAAGTCATTGTCTTGGCACTAGGAAACAGGCAGAACGTATTATCGCCGATGATGTTTCGAGCCCGCCCACGTGATGGCCAGCCCGAACATGTGATCAAAGCTCCGTTTCTAAGGCACTTCCTGACAAAGACTTCCGACATGCATGGGCCTGGAGAACCTACCGGTACGCGACCGCAGCCGCCGGTTTTGACTTCCGGTGCCGTGAGGCTCCATGTGGGCCTTTTGTGTCTCCAGCCCATTAACGTGGTTGCCCAAAGTCAAAAGGCAAGCTTTCCGATGTCCAGTTATGTCACGCACGCTAGAGCCATGATATAGTTGAGCATAGATATGGAGGAGGGGGTCTGAAGGCTCTGTGAGGCCTTCAAAGTTTGTCTTCCTACTTGGACTGGCAGTCAGGGACGAAGAGGTTCTCGGTGCTGGCTGGCGGAATGATATTTGATGAGCGCAGCTCGATTGTTGCAAGTCTTCCTTCTCCATTTTCATCTTTTTCTCTAGGGGGCTATTGTTCTCCCGGAATCTCATGGTCCCTTATAATTCTTCGTCGCTTGTCATTCTCGGGAGCACCTATTTTCGAATAATAAAACAGCGGCGAGAAACAATAACAGCTTCACAGGCGCCCATAGTAAGTTCCAAGCATGCTTGAGAATATGACAGAATTCCCCTGACGTTGTGGCACTTCAAAAGTATATAAATTGGAAGGTACAAGTCGTCTCGATGATGGCTTCCCTCCAAAGCGCGAATGGTACAGTGTACCCACCCATCTTCTAAACCTGTCCTTTTCCAGAGATGCAACGACTAACCAACACCTCAAGATTCTTCTGCAGAGGTTCTAACGCTACGCTTGCCGTCATCAAATCCTTCTGGCTTGCTGTCTATTTACCCTCCTTCATTGTCTGTTGAGTTGACTTTATCACAAGATATTTACGATAACACGGACATGAATACTTCGCCAGAGGAACCCAAGCCGGCGAGAACTGCGGCCATGGAATCCACTCCCTCCTCTTCCAGCCATGCCGCTGTCGACGCGCAGGCGTCCGGCAAACGTAAACGCTCGCCGGTGGAACCTACAACTACGCGATCCGCTCCCTCCTCTTCCAACCAAGCCGCTGTCGATACGCAGGCATCCCGTAAACGTAAACCCTTACCGGTGGAACCTACAACTGCGCGATCCGCTCCCTCCTCTTCCAACCAAGCCGCTGTCGACGCGCAGGCGTCCATCGAACGTCAACCCATACCGGTGGAACCTACAACTACGGTATCCGCTTCCCCCTCTTCCACTCAAGCCGGCGTCGACGTGCAGACGCCCGCTGGATGCAAGTACGCTGTCAACGGCCATTGCGCCATCCGAAGTCTTACCTATTACCTCGGAGTTCTGAGTAGCGAGGAGGTTCATACAGAAGACCGGATGTATCACGCAAACATTTTCTGTGACGCAGTCACCACAGGGCCTCGTTTCGTCTGCACTTTCCAGGTCTGCTGCGGCAACATATCACTGTTGTCGTTCGCCGTGGAGCGGCGCTTCCCCATGGAGGTTCTGGAGTTCCTCCTGACCAACACGAGGTTTCGACAGGAGGACGGGTGCCGAATCATCGACTTCGTCGAGCACATCGGGAGCCTCATTGTCTGCTTGATGTATGGCTATAGCGGCCGCTGTTTCAATAACAGTCTGCTCGACGATGCTAAGCGGTCCCTCCGTCTGCTCCTCCGCGCCGGCACACAGAACGCGTTCGCAAGACGGATTTGGCACAACAACGGCCAGTACCGCACTTGGATCCTGAGCGTTCTCCATGCGGCCTCCGTTTACGTTTCTCCCATTCCCTCTGAGCCGGGCCAGCCGTACATCACTCGCGTCGTCCCCATTCTTGCTCTACTCCACTTGGTAGAGTGCTTCATGGAGATGTTCCCCGATGAGGACGCATCTTTCTGGAGCGTAGTCCTCCAGGAACTGTGGATGCACAGCCGCATCACGAGGGGAACGTTGAGGCGGGTCGCCGACATGACACTTCGGCTTTTAGATCTCGGGGCCTCGACGACTTTCGCACTCCCAGATAGAGCCAAGGGCGGCAGCTTCCTCGCCTGTCTCGAGAACGGCCTGGAAGCTGTCGAGGATGTCAACCCCTACGTTGACGACATTGAAGCCACAATTGGAGGCACCAAGATCATGGAATTTGGTGGTCCTGGACAGGCCATCGACATCATTAGGAACAGGATGTATGGGAAACGAATTGAGAGCATTGAGCGCCTCAAAAAGAAAATCCTCGGGGACGGCAGTCTGAGCCCCCCCTCCGTGGATTGATTGCAGCTTGAAAAGCATCTAGCTTGAGGACTGCAGCTCATCAGAGCAGAAAGGTACTTCATCAGGCAGTTCGAACGGGTGAGGACCTTGGTAAGTCGCAACCTATACATCATACACCAACCTGCATCCCGCATGATTCGGAATCCGGTTGAAAATGCCATACTGCGCTCATTAGTGTCCATATCAACCAGAAGTATTAGTACGCTGGACCGCTGGCCTATTACATTGTCATTAGGGTGTCAGCCTTGGCCATTTGCCAGAGCTGCGATCGTTGCTACATTACATGCGCGTTGCATCAATAGTAAACAACGGTACAGGTGTTAAAGTGTTCAAACCTGCAGCATAATGAATTAAAAAGTAAATACCACCGAACTTTATTCAGAATTATGTACAGTGATCCATCGACCAGCTTGGGCTTATATACTTTGCGTGACTAGGAATATTTCAAACGCATTGCGAGTACCTGCCCTGCGTTAGTTTATGGATCAAATCGGCAATTGCAAGAAAGGGGACTGGGACTGTTCTCACCATTGGTTCTGAGCATTGCAAGTGCTTCCAGACTGGCAGCACGTCGGACCAGTCCATCCAGACCCGCCGCACTGGCCGAACTTGGCCGCACACTGTCCTCCACTCGGAGGAGGTGCAGTGGTAGGAGTGCTGGAGGGAGGGCTGGTGTTGGCGGGAGGAGGAGCGCTGCCGCCGCCGTAGATGGCCTTGGTGAAGAAGTCCCACGTCTCGCGGGCCATCCAATTGCCCTGGCTGTCGTTCGCGTCGCCTACGTGGCCGCCGCCGTGGCCGATCCACCAGACGGGGTACCCAGCGCTGCAGCTGTACTCCGTCTTGATGTGCTGCGAGGACCCCGGGCTCGGATCCGGCGCCGTCTTTGACTGGCACTTGTTGACGCCGAGGAATCGGTCGCGCAGCGCCCTGCCCTGGGCGATTGGGAGGACGTTGTCAGCGGAACCGTGGATACCGAGGTAGGCGACGGGAGTGGTGCCGCCGTCGCAACCGCTCAGTTGAGCACCCGCAATGACGGAAACAGCGCGGAAGATATCTGGCTTAGGATTAGCTAGCGTCCTTCAAAAGATAGACACCGTCTCATAGCACGGCAAGAATATGTATAACGATGGGGGGCGGAGGAAGTTTACGTACTGGGCCTAGCACAAGCGACCGCATTGGACATGGCTCCGCCGTAGCTGAAGCCCGTCGCGAAGCGCTTGGTGGTGTCGACGCAGAGGCTGTTCTGGACCTCGCTGAGGATCTGGTCGACAAAGGTGACGTCGGCGCCGCCGTTGTTGGCCCAGCCGGCGTTGAGGCCGTCGGGGGCGACGAAGATGGCCGACTCGCCGGCCAGCGCCCGGAGCCCGTAGTACCCGGGGGCGACGGTGTTCATGTTCCCGTTGAGCCAGTGGAAGCCGAAGATGAGCATGTACTCCTTGTTGGGGTTGTAGTTGGCGGGCACCTGCAGGATGTACCGCCTGCTGCCGATGGACTTGGTGCCGCTGGCCGGCGCCGCCTTGCCGCAGCCGGGCGTGGCAGCCATGACGCTCCCCAGGGAGACTGACAGAAGGAGGAGGACGATTGCCGAAAAGGAAGCCATGACGGAAGGGGTTTCGGTGCGTGAACTCTGGAACTGATATCCCATGGCCCAAGAAGGAGGGGAGTGCTGGTGGACTCGACTTCGACTTATAACAGCTGTCGAGTTTGGCGATTCCGGTTGACCGCCGTAATGATTGACAACTGCCGTTGGGGAGTGCCATCTGCCTCGCATAGAATAATACTTCCGACTTGGCACTGAATGTTTGTACCAATCAAGGACAACACCGTTATTGCAACTGGTGTTGGGCTCGAGACCCGGGGCTCGTGGTACATCCTGTTATAGCAACCGGGGCAGGCTCTCCGAGAAGAAGAGACCGCAAACTAGCTTATATTGGGATCTACTATGCTGCAGGGATTCCACATTTTGGAACTACCGCCCTCTCCAACGCGTGTTTTTGCATATAGCCGGGTCGAGTTAGTTGACTAGGTAGGTGGCCAGGAGCTAATTATCCCAGCGTTTCTAGCCAGCCACACATTTAACCAAACCTGGGGTAAATCCGGGGTAGCAGCGGCGCCCAGTGGGCTCTTCACGGTGGCCGTCAAAAGCTGCCACTTGCTATTGCGGTAGCCGCGGTAGCCATTCGACAGAGGTGGTAATAATAAGTTGTCCAACGACGGTGAGTAAATGTGAAGTACTTGGCGTGAGTTGGATAAATTGGTGTTGGGCGGGCCCAATTTGAGTGCGAGCCAATCGCGCCTCCCCCGGTCAGTCGGAGGTTGATGGAAGGGCTTTGCCCAGCCGGCTAAGTGACGGTTTTCCCGCTCGACGTGAACCATCCTTCTTCAGCAATTCTGTCTCTCTCTCCTGGCCTGTAGGCCTAGATCTCATGGTCTCATGGGTTTCGTGGCACTTGGGCAACGTGGTAGCGGTCAGGCGCAAACCTGTTTGTTGTGTTGTTTGTGATTGTTCTCCGGTTGTCGCTGGCGTCGCAACGCAAACTTTTTCTTTCTGCAAGCGAGAGTGTTGAAAACCGTTACAGGATTCTCATATCCACACCATTCCTCAATATAGTCGCATGGAGGCTGGCTCACAAGTCACAGTCTCTTTCCTGACCGCCTAAACACTCTATACTTTGAACTCAATCCGGCCTTCCTCCTCGTAACATTTATTGCGGCTTCTATAGGGAGGGGAAAGGAACAGGCTTTTTCATACTTGGCTCATTCTTGATTTGCCTCGGCTCATGATGTTCCGGCCACACCACTTACCTCGTACTTTTGGCCACTAACTACTCACGCCCAGCTTCGTATGGTTTGTTTCTGCCTATAGAAGCCCAAGACTAGTCTCTCAGCTGGCCAGGATTACGGAACACTGAGCTTGCTCGGCGAAGGCAGCCGTGAGCACTCGGTAGGCTTTCTTAGATTGTACTACACCGCCATACATCCAGAATAATGGTTTGTACCTACAGCACAGCTAAAAACAAGTAAGAAGCGGTAATACTAGAGTTTCTCGGCTTCCCAAGATGGCTTCACGGGCCAGCATTGTGATATCTCGAGGCAATTTACGCAATGATAACAATATAACCGGATAGGTTGAATCTTTCGAAGATGTGTCCATGAGATGATGAGGCTACATGTGCGGTGATTCGGATAAAGTAGTCAAATCTAGCAGACAATCTTCCGGAACATGCGAGTCTACAGCAAAGACAAATTGCTGTAAAAGGCGGGATATATAGATACATTTGGGAGGCACTCTGATGCAACTCTATTAAGGCATCATAACCGAGATTCTTTGGGATAATACTGGTAGCAGTGATAGACGACATCGTGACTGTCCTTCACCATCAATCTCTGCGTGGCGATAGGCATAGGGACCTCAAAGAACCTACGCCATCTGCAGCAACGAAACCGTCGCCACCATTGGTTAAATCAGGATGGGCTGGATTCTCGGCTATAGGCGAGCTGGGTACAGCTGCGGTCGGCGTCGGGATACTCGCAACCTGGTTGGTTTCGGAGATAATAGAGGCTATTGTAATACGCGCGCCAAGGTGACATAAATGTCACCCTTTTGTTGCAGTGAACCAGGCTTTTATGTTTCCAGGATCAGAACTTAGGTATTTTTGTTACCCCTCCTCTTGGCTGGAGAGAACCATGCAATTTTTCAGCCAATAGACTACTGTGAATAAACGTTGTTTGTCAGGGGGCGCAACTCGGTGCAGATCGGTAGGCAGAGGGCGGGGCCCCTTGCTAGCATGCCTTCTGTCACTAAGTAATGTAATATATACATAGCGTTAGTAGCTGCCCGCAATTTGCGGTGTCGCTTTTGCGACACCATCCATCTCAACATGAACGTGTATACTCTGTAGCCGGCACCCGCGCCCTCGTAGTCTTCTGGGTCCCTGGATGTTGCAACCTTGTCTTGTCCCCCGTGTCCTACTGCAATATGCGACCGAAAAGCGCAGGTGAATGCTAACTTGGGTGGGTAGCTGTTGCGATATACACGAGACTAGCACGCCGGATGCAGTTTTGTTTAATCGACGTACATAGGTAGGTTTTAGTTGCAGCTTGCTGTGTGCTAGCCTACTGGAAGGGAAGAGTCGGTGTCGCTCGGGGTGTCTTGCGACGATTTGGTTTGTCATCTCTTTCCAATGCCCTTACTGTCTTCATTTGCTTGCCGTAGCCTTCGTAGATGGTAGATAGGAAGACGTCCTAATATTACGGCCTAGCTGGAACTCGCTAGAAATATTTTCTCCAGGTAGAAAATGAGTTTGTAAGGTGCTAAACTAATGGCATATATGAAAGTAACGAATAGATAGCATCATTAAATACAGGAAAGCGTACCGTCGAGCATTATGCCAGCAAAAGTTTTAATGACTCAAGGCTGCATGCGTAACCTGTAGTTCAACTGTATGTTAGAAGACAAAGAATATTAACAAGACTCATTACGCCTAAGCTAGCTTTAAGGGACTGTGACTATTTCATACATAGACTGACGTGATGATAAGCTAAAAGTAGATCTACAATCGTAGTGTGACAATAGTGGCTTACATACTATTGTATCAACCAATAAACAACACATAGCTCTCCATTATTCCAACATTTCTTTTCAAAGATGTCGCCCAAAATCAGCAGGCAGCATTCCCGCATGTAGCTAAATAGCATAATTGTTGCGATGTTGACCATCGCCTGGATATTGGCGGTATGGATTAACGCCGATCGGCCGGAATAACTACAGCCAATTCGCCGTAGATCCACTAGATCCATAGGGATATTACGCAGTGAATTTGCTACGTAATCCTACAATAGTTTTCCTTCTTTACGTATAATTTAGGACTAGTATTTACCCCTATTATTTATTACTACCTATTAATACGTATAGTTAACTATATTACTACCCTAGTAAAACTAACACTAATTAGTAGTTAACTTTATAGTAACTACTACTATAAGCTACTATAGATTAG